TCTAGATGTTAATAAGATAAAATTAAACCTACCTATTATAATGACCCGACCCCACGCTTAGGTTATATACCAGGTCAGACCCACTTTTAGTAATACTTATACTTATAAACGCTTAATATAATTATAGTAAAACCTCAGATAAACTAACTAATTAAATAAAAATTAAATTAAATTAAATTAAATTAAATTAACTTTATAAAAGAAAATTAATTATAATCAAATTAACTCTAATTAACTTATTAGATTATTAGTTTATTTCTATTAAAATAAAACCTTATATTTATTTAGATTATAATAAATCTAATTATTATATATACTAGCCTATATCTTTTTCTTATATATCTAATCAGTTATTAATATAATTATTCACTATTAACAACCTGATACCTAAACTATAATACATTAAACCCATTGCTCGACCTCGCCCTAATCCACTGCTAACATTAACCACGATCTAGGTTATCCTTGTTAGGAAACGAGCAACGCTCCAGTACCATTACATAATGAGGCACAAGCTTGCAGCTTGAGCCCATAACAGAACATATGGTAAACCGTTGGTACTTTAATTTGGTCTAATTTATTGTTATCTGATTGTTCTCCTCAGTACCTCTACCTCATAAGGCACACATTTCTCCTACAATTAAACAGCTAATTCAATCGATTAATTATGTTTGTTTTCATCTATTAGTTCAAGGGTAATGCTTTAATTTAAACAAAAGTTATTATCATAGGGTCAAGAATGATTGAAGGAAAAATAAATAAATACTATAATTGATTATTAGAAATAGCACTGAATATCCTTTAGACTAAAGCTTCTCCTAATCAAAAAGAAGCCTCTTATAGATCTACTACACTAACTCACTGTCTTATTCCTGTAATTACATTTCATCCAGTGCAGACAACTCGATACTATCATCCCTTGCTTTCGATGAGCATCCCAGTCTCCATTGCCAAGGCTTTGAGCATACTATGAAGCATGTAACTTGATATGCGACAGCAAGGCCCAACATTACACCCCACAGGGCCAAAATGCCTTTGGGGACGTGTTTGAATCCAACAAATTGACCAAACAGACTGAACAGATTCATAAAGCCAAGGTTATGTTGGTCAAACCAGTTGCTCCACGGGGCCAATAAGTAGAAAGTACCCGCACACGAGAAGAAAGCCCATGTTGTAAAGCCAGCAAAGGAGATGACATTAAAAAGGCGCAGAATGTTGGACCGGCTGATCATGCTGGAGCTCAAGTCAATGTCTTTGAGCAACCACTCCAGATTGGCTGAGAAAAGGATGAAGAGGAAGATAACGGATAACTGCCCAGCGATGTACCACGGGATCATGTTAAGAAGCGACCAATGTATCCCCCTAATTGACCAGAATTGCGAAAGCAGATTAACTGCTCCGGCCACATTGTACAAGGCGACAAGAAGAGATACCCACGGTCTCCAATATGAGTTGCTGTATGCTTTGTAGTCAATCCACAGTAAAACATCCTTACTTCCTGTGTATGGTACCGCCGAGTCGCTCTCTGTGTGCCGCGGATCCGGAATTGTTTGCAAAGGAGGAGTTGTGGCGGGAGCAGGGCTGGGGGGTTCGGTGTGGCCTTCAGACGCCATTGGTTGTCCTGTTATTCTTAGCAAAGCGATATATTTGACTTGGGGAGATAGTCTTACCGTCACCACCCGTTTCAGCGCTAGAACTTTTGTCTGCCAGTTATACATCAGATTCGCGCTCAGAACATTTGCCACTGCATCTCCAACTCACCTTTAGATTCACAAAACGCGTGCAAGATGAAAAGGAGGGGGACCGCTGGCACCATCACCGCAGTGATTTGACTAAAGCCCCATTTATTGTCACCCTCTGGAGTATCGTTTGTTGTAAATCTTTTCTCATAGAGACCCAACGTCCCCCATGCAGTGGAAACAAGTATCCCAAAAAGCTGCAAGTTATTAGGCACGCTGCTTGACATCGGAATTGGTAAGGGCAGGATTTACCTGAGTGAGCATGGACTCGAAAAAGTCCTTGTAGAGACGACCCATGAGAAATAAAATACTGAGTGGTCGAATGAATGCGTGGTGCCACCAGTTGTGGTACCATTCATCTCCCTCCCACCACAGCCGCGATAGAACATCAGCCGCACTGTTAGAAATCCATCCTTTTAGGCTGACAAAGACACCTCTAGAGGCCATAGGGGAGATCTCTATGCATCTCATGACGAAAGTGAAGCCAAGAAAAAGTATAGAGAGTAGATTCGGGACGAAAGCGTCTGTTGCGATGACCTTGTTCACCTTTTCGTCACCCAGATCCTCGACCCCAGTCAAGTTACCTTTGGAGAGAAGGTCTTCCCAAAAGCACTTCACGAAAAAGTCGTCCTCCAATGGAAACATATTGGGGACCAGGGCGGCAATGAGCAAACCAATGAGAACGAGGGTGCTACATATTCTCCAGCAGCGCTCTAGCAGTCGACTAGACAAAGACAAGCGAAGGAACTTAAGTCCGGCAAAGTGTGTGATTGCGGAATGCCATACGCATTTGACTAGGATCTGCCAGTGATATGCGGTCACATTATCTGATGACATGGAACCAAATCCGCTGATGAGGGCTACGTAACCTGCAGCGAGGTGACCATCGCACACCCGTCGTATCAGCTGCAACTTTTGTTAGTAGAGAGTACCAGAAGACACGGATTCAAAGCTGAAACTATTTGGGAGTATTGAAAGACACTTACGGTATGGAAAAAGTCCCGAAGCCTTGCCTGTTCTGCTGGGTCATTGAACCACCTCGACCCGGCAGGCATCCATCTCCGAATCGGAGAGCAGCAAAATGCTAAACCGCGGAAAAGTTTTTGCCTCAAATACACAGTATAAAGGTCTATAGGGTTCGGTCTGAAACCTTGGCCGTCGGCATAACGTTGTTGAGTAATCGTGTCTTGTGTCGGATCATATATGAAGAGGCCGTAGACGACTAAAATGAAAACAGTGACGTATGTAGTACCAGCAAAAGCAGCCAGTATCTGTGATAGGAGAAATGTTAGACTATCAGATGAAACAATGCACCGGGGGATTGGGCTTCTTACTCCAATGCCTGCAATGTCGGGATTTGCGGGAATGGTGTTTTCCTGGTTATGGCAGCCATTGCGCAGCGTAGAGACAGCGTTCGTCATGATGTATCAAGGCAACAAGGATGGGTCTCACTCAGCAGGACGATGTCGTTTCGCCTCAAGTTGTACGGGGTCGAATCAGGGGATGAGGAGGTTCCGCAAAAGGAAGCATCGATCAGGGGAGGCTATCGCGACTCTGTCTTGAGAAACTGCCAAGGGGGCTTCAACGAAAAGTGATATCTGTGGACTGAAAAGAATACAAGGAGTATGACGGAGGCTGTCGTGTCAAAGGATGGGCAGCATTGTGATTATATTATTCCCCTCACAGGTGCTGAAAGTATTGCTTCTTGGGCGGCCGCTCGACTCTGAGCAGGCATCTAACCACGGTCTCACCGTGTGGTAGCACAACTTGGGCCTGCAGATTTCTCCTCGGACCAAACATCACAACAAAAGGTTGGAACAATTGGGGGTGTGGCAGAGAAAGGGGAAAGAGAAAAGAGTGAGGCTGAGAATCCATGTCGGCGAAATCAAGCAGATGTTTGCAACACAACATATTGGAGAGAGAGTGTGTGGGTGGGCAGTATGATCCCGAAGGATTCGATAACAAACAGCGGTAGAGAGGGATATCTGATTTTCATGGTGATCCCAGGATCGGTTTGAGAGCACCGCAGACCACAGAGAAAGCCACGACTTGCACTCGTGAATGGTTTGACTGGCTGGTAAGCTTGTCCTTGATAGCGAGCCTACAGCTAATGAACTGCGACAGCCGCCAAGACACGGGAGTTCCATACTTTACAGATTGTCTCCTCAGAATCCCTCTTGCTACACGATATTGGTACCCTCGGAGCGATAAGGGCAGGCCATCTGTAGGATGGGAGAAAGGGCTGGTCTTGCGACCACTTTTCGCCGGGGGTGGTGGGTACAGCGAGGCCATGCGGAGGCAGGAATTGATGTTTGCTTATTCCCACCGTCTACCTAATCTATTCTGCGTCGCAATCAAGGGATGCCTAGTTGACTGGTTCCAAGAATTCGGGTTTGACAGCATCAAGCTTGATGCATTACTGACCTGTAAAGTAACAGGTGTGGTGGACGAGCCAAGTCCTGGCAAGGGGGTCTACGGGTCTGTTGTCAAGGTCGACGTGGTGGGGAAGGGGGGACGTCCCGCGATGCTTGCCGGCACTAATCCGCGCCATGGCAAACGAAAACGAATAAATGAAGTGCATGAGAGGCCTCGAAATCTGGCCATGGATCCCCCGATCCGAGATCCCTACACCACCCGCGCCTCCATCCATGTCGTGAGGCTGTCGAGTTCCAAGCAGCGGGGGACTTGTAGATGAGCCTGTCAGAACATGGCATGAACGATGCAGTCATGACTCGCGGTAGTTGCCCGTAGACAAGGAAAGACAATTTTGTTCAGGAAGCACAACATTTGACTGTCCCAATCAAGCGTGATTGTCCTGCAGTAGCTCAGGTACGTGGAACGTGAAGCATCCGTTTTCGGAAGCAGATGGACGGCTGGCCATGGTGTAAGTGACCACACCACTTTCTACCACCCCAAGGCCCCTATTACCACCCCATGGATAACAAATTTCCTTCCAAATTATTGCGTACTCCTCGTGCGTACACGGGAATCAATCGTCCCAAGTTTTTGTCCTGATGACATGGGAAGCGGGTTGGATCTGGGATATCTGGAACAAAGGCAAAAAGCGAAGCCACAAAACCAACCAACTACATTTATCACCAAGTTAGGTTCGTTTATTGAAGTCAGCAGGCACAGCTTAAAGTGTCTCTGTCGTGTGGGAGTGGGTTGGGTGTCTCGCATGTCAAAAAGATAAAAAAACCCAACCCAAATTCTTCAACTTATCCTCGACCAATCAGAATGCATAAAAAAGTGGGTCTGAACGGGCTGCACCGCGGATCGAACGCGGGGCCTCTTGCAGGGGTGGCTTCTGATTGGTCAGAATTGAACCCAAAGCAAGAATCATACCACTAGACCATGCAGCCGCTGAGATGTTGTTGAATGGAGGGATGGTATTTTGATATATGGCTTGAGGCTGTTCTGCAACTCTCCTCAGTATCTGTCCTTGGACCATTAATGCGCAAGATGCAAAACACGGCGCAGACACGTTCGGTTCCAGGCTTCTGCTCTCTTCATTTCGTTTGGTGGCTTAATTTAGGCATCATTTCAAGCTCACCCTTTGTGTCTCCAAAGGGAAAGTCCTTTTATTTATTAAATGTTGAACAAAACGCCGCCAACGCATGCACTCTCGTCAAAAATGTCTCCTTTTAGCTTCTTCCGCCCAATTTATTTGGAGAGGATTCATTCTGGTTTGCTTGCTCTTTATGCTGCGTCACTCTCGGCTTCCTTCCGCCATATTCCATTGCCTGGTCCTTTCCGACGGCCGATCCATCCGTATATGGGCCAATAGAGATGCATATACATTACTTTACTCATTGTATCACAGTGGACGTGCAGATGGCCCTGTGCTGAGCAGGCCAACTCAAGGTGGTTGATGGTGGCTGGCTAGAGGTGGCTGTCATATGTCCAATGGACGACGTCTGAGACGAGAAATCTCCCCACACCACCATCTTCTTCTTCTGCTTCTTCATCATCATCTTCATCTTGCCCCCCTGGCGACCAAATCATCGACCTCCTACACGCGTTTATACGACGCTTGCAACTGGCAGTTCGCGGCTTCGAAGCCTCACTTTTGACGCAATGCAACCAATATTCGATGTCGAGTTCACAAGGCTTAATTAATTCCTCAAGCACTAGCACTTGTTCTCAGTTCCCCCGCCCAATCACTCGTCTTGATAAACACCGGTGAGTAATAACTGCATAACGTGAAAACATTTCGTGACGCCATGCTGGGGAAAGCGGTCAAGATCTCCTTCAATTTCTACTCTTCGACATGCTCGTCAAGCTTTCTAAGCTACGGAGCTCTCGCAAATTGGTCATAGTTACCACGGCATTTCGGTTCTTGGAGGTTCCGAAGTGATTGAGAACTGAGACGTGCATGTCTGCAGACGCGGTGGCACACAGTTTTGTTTGCAAGTAGGCATGGCCAGTGGCATCTGGTCAGAAAGTTCCCAAAACAAGCCACGTTTTCTCGAGGGCCGAAGGGTCAAGATTTGGGCCTATACGTTTGTTCTACCGTTTCGTTTAATCGCGCGCTTTCTTGCACCTTGGCAACAAAGGGCATTTTCGCGCGTGCGGTCTCGTTCTTGTGGATACAGGTTGTTTGCTCCTCATCCAGCAGCTCTAGTCACACCCGACGGTAGGCATTCTTCACTTGGTCCGGCACACCGGCCGAGTCACTCCAACGTAAGCTATCTGGACATGGGTCTGGAGAATATGATATCCGAGTGACACAATCACATTCCTCCGAAGCACCAAGTGTTGGGACGTTGCCTCGTCTCTTACCACTTTTCACCACACCAATGTGTGTCACTTGGCCCTTGGGCTCCGTAACCTGGTACATGCCTGCAGACGTGGCCATCTGCTGGCCGGCATTCAGCTCAAGTGCCTGCTTGGTAATAAGTTGGCATTTGTGTCGTCAGGCCCTTGAATCTTGTGCATCCTGAAAGGGCAATTGTTGTTGACCATCCCTTACTACTTACTGATTGAAGATGGGAAAGGCACACGAGCTTATTGCGTATCCATGGTAAGCGTCTTTTATTCTGTCTTCTCCAGAGTTCAACGACTCGGCATCAGCGTGTCGTTTTTAGTCGTTCAAGTCAAACTACGGGTAGGGCCTCTAGGTGTAAGACACTGGATTCCTTGCACAAAAGTAGTAGGACATATCGTAACATCTGACATTGATTATACGCTGCCGTGCCTAATCTGCCTTCTACATCTGTTCTGGTAGAATCTGGGATAACGACTGACCTTCAAATCGTCCATTGTGTCCGATTGCGGGGGCGATTTGACTTTTGTTGCTACAGCCCCTTCAGTGAATGCCAAGTGGCCATTTTGGTATTGCGATGCCTTCTTAGGGCCAGGATGCTCGGCAAATTCCAGGCCAAGCTACCCCTCCACTGCGCTCATCTCCAAGCACCGCATCACAGCCCAGTGTCACGATCTACCAAAAGCAATGCCTAGCAAAAAAAACATACAACAGCCGGTGTTCGCTGGTGGTCACCCACCCAACTACTAATCTGCCAGTCAGGGGCTTGTCTATGGGGGAGCGGACGGGACCCCGAATTCTCCACTGCCTATGGTCGTATGTGCCATGTGGGCAGCTTCGCTGACCTCATATACGGATGGGTTCGAGTTGCGAACGCGTGAGAATGCATCCGGTTGCATAGCTCGAGGTCTGGTCCGAATGTTCTTCTTGGTTACTACGAGATTGAGTCTCTTGCACGAGATAGGGTCATCGAGTGGGGCCCGAGTCATCGCCCATCACATAGGTAGGGTGAAAGCGCTTTTACGGATTCGCCATGACAACCCGTAAATACCATTCTTGCCGAGACCGCTATGGAATTTCAACAATATAACCACTCGGAAACACAGAACACATCGATGTCTCCCAACTTGACTACGGATACAAATCAATACGAAGCAATCCTCCAAAGACCACACATTGACCAAAACCACCTGGGCCCAATGCATGGATCGACCCGGGCAACAGCACCTTGATGGTTTCTGAACACCCATCCAGTCCCGTAACGATACTCTGTTTTGATCTTGCTCTCAACTTGCAAGCCACGTCGAAAGCCATCACCCCTTTCTATACCTCGTCTACTTTACTATTCGACTGCTAGTATCCGGCTTCGAGCCTACGTACACAAACTCCAAAAACCAGATTCTGTCCATTCTACGCATAGCCTACTTGAGAGATGATTCTATTCATTGCACGAAGATTACATCCATACGACCCTTTTGTGCTGTTCCGCAGTTCTAATCGACGCACACAATCACATCGTCATCCCCCAACCCTCGTCCTCGGCTCTGGCACGACCTACCTCTAGAACAATGAACCGTTCCAAATGCAACGCCCCCACCACCAAAAATCTCCTCTCTTTTTCATCCTCTTTTACATAGTCAACTTACACGGCTTAGCGCTACCGGTGAAAGCGACGAGTCGATCCGTGTGCGAGAGCGTGGGTCTAGATACGAACATCTACTCGACTACCTTAGCCGTGAGTTGAGCATCCCCTGTTTTCTTGAAGGATTGTACCTTGGTATTCTAAAAGAACGGTTTCCAGATCCCATTGATTCGTTCTTTTTATCATGCTCGACAAGACCTCAGGATGCCGTCCGCCTTTGCACGACGATACTACTATTAGGAAGAACGAGGATCCGGCGAAGACCTAGTGGCGATACCTCGCCCAACACACCCAGCCTCGGTACTGTTTTCTTTGATCTCTAGCACGTGCCTTTGTTGCGTTGCCCTGCGTGTAGCAAGCACCCCTCGCCATACTCCGTCTGGATCTCCTACAGCAACCGAGATAGGGCTGGTATGTTACGAACCATGGAATTAAAACCGCCGTCCGCCAATAAACTGTTTTTTTCTTCAGGTAAGACCTGTGTTTTCAATCATGTCTGATCCAAGCTCACATTTCTTGCAGTCAGGCTTTGGCGAAACTCCCTCCACCGACGACTTATCAGGATGTCCTATCGATTCATCCTATACTGTCACAGATACTACCTTCGAGGGGTGGTTTCTGCCTCGTTGAGCAAACGATACGCATCAAAGTGGTATATCTAAAGACTTCAAAGGTCGTTATAGAAAAGTCATGCAGCACTCTATGCCGCCTTTGCGCCACCCTTCGCAAGACCGAATATTGATGAGATCTGAGCATGGCTGTCAACAACCGGTTTGTCTCATGGTTTTGCCCTCATTATGGGCCAGTCTCCCTGTTGACAGTTATCAGCAAGATAGTGCGTCTTTGAGAAACATCTGATTGATCCTTTACGATGATCGGCGACATCAAGTGCCATAGCAATCACAGGCTGCTGGTCGATTCATTAGGAGTTACAAGGTCTAATCAATATGAGTTTTTGCCCAATGCAAAAGGCACATGCTCAGTCCCTCGGCTGGTAAGATCATCGCTGCATTTGGTGCGGCAGTTGACCTCTGCCGATTGCAAATTCGCCGTCAAAACAACCCTCCGGTCTAGCTCGAAAGCCCTCTCACCAACGCTCCCCCGTCGGAATTTCTAGCCAAAGTACTTCTGCGGACACGTAATCATATTTGTATTTCTAATGTGCTGCTAAACGAAGCACAAATGAGGCCTATGATCGGGGGCTCTTGATATGGGCACTTGCTTCTCTTGAATGCTTTGGCGTTAGAAATGTGGCATTGCGAATAGAGGGTCGTCTTTTTGATGCCCAACATGCATCTGCTGTGATGGAACAACAATGTGAATACGGGACGCGCCTAGGGAAAATGATGCTTCAAGACTCCTCTTTAGCTGTATGTAGCAACTGCTTTTTATGCGATTTCAGCTAGTTGAGATGTCAATTTTCAGATGTCCCTATGTATATAAGACCTCTGTTGCAAGATGGTGAATACCAAACAACGAGATTTCCGACACCTTGTGTCTCTTCCTTTTTCTTTTTCTCATCCAAGACCTTACCGTTGAGATCATGGTTCCGGGGCATGTTGCTTGCCATTTAGGTAGATGGTTGTGCACACGTATAGGTACACACAATAGTTTCGCTTATAGCAATTTCTTTTTAAAGAAAGTCATAGTTATTATTAAAATATATATTTATACTTACTAATAATATAATAGTAACAAAAAGCATAATAAAAAAATCCTAATAGTCTTGAACATTTATTTATTTGAAGTAATTTTCATAGAAATTATAATTTGTAACACTGCCTCCAGAAGCTCCGGGATACATAACGCAATAAAGGTGCGGGGTAATTGTGCATAAGTCACACATCTCTCGTACAATAGTTAAATGCACAAGTTTTAACTTATGAAGAATGCAATATTTATGTTTAATTTTATTCACTTAGTAATTCGTTATTAAGTATTATTTAATAATTATA